CTTTGTAGGCTGGTGTCCTTATGTTCCTTTCTCCATTCCCTATGTGGACTTTTCCAGGTACTTCTGATTTTTTCTTGCAGTACTCAAGCCTTTTCTGCCACAGTCCCATTGTCCAGGTGAACAGAGTGGCAGCTGACTGTGTCCCTGTGACACAATGCAGGGGCTCTATGGAGCCTGTCTCAAAAGTGGTGGTTTGCTGACCTTGCAGTAAGCAGGTTTGGGGTTTTTTTCCCCACTACACATAAGACAAGCTGTTCACGCTAACACAGGACAGATGGTTCACAGCTTACAGTTTGTGAGATGTTCTCTCTGACTCCCACTGGGAGCCTGATTGAGCTGCAAGAACTTGAAGGGTTTGCTTGAGCAGAACACACATTCACGCATGCTCTCACGGAAGTCTCTTCACCTCTTCAGATACTGCAGTATGTAACTGCTCACTGCACAGTTTCACTTAGACTAGACTTGTAAGCATGGGTTTATGTGAAAGTTATAGCAAGCTCCTAGAAAGCAGAGAGTCTCATGATCTGGTGTCAAGGATGTGGCAGAGTTGTTCATCAAGAGTCCTTTCAATGACCTTGTTGAAAACAGCTTATGAAGTCAGTGGCTTAATTGAGATTCAGAAGAAGCAGTGAAGTTCTTAAAAGTTATGGTTTGAGATCATGGTGTGACTTTTGGGAAAAAGTGACTTTCCCAAACATATGTTTTAAGCTTATTTCTGCTCAGCTCAGAAGCACTTTTTTTTTTTTTTTGGTCTGACTAAGCAGCAGATGAGTTATAAAACGACAGAGGATCCTTGCACTTAAGAGCATATGCTGCTCCTTAATTGCCTTCTTCCAAAAGTGATACTTTTAACAAGTGACACATCATTGCAAAAAAAAACCCAAACCCGTTAGACAATATTAGTACAATTCTCATGAAGATGCTGAATTTCTAGTTCTCTCTTCTGTAGGAATTTGACAAGAAATACAATCCCACTTGGCACTGCATCGTGGGAAGGAACTTTGGCAGCTACGTGACTCATGAGACCAAGCACTTCATCTACTTCTACCTCGGCCAAGTCGCTATCCTTCTTTTCAAGTCTGGTTAGAACCACGGACTGTTACCGAAACTTGCACCCAGTCACAGGACTGCACACTAACTCCAAACGGCCTCCTACCTGCAGCCTTCCTGAGGACACAGATCTTCAGGCTCAGGTCTTTTGTTGTATTGTTAACGGTCAGGGATTTTGCTGTAGCAACTGTTATTTTTGTTGTGGCTACAAAAACGCAAAAATGTCTTCCTTGTATTTATTTCCTTTCAAAAGACGGCTTCTTTGCTAATAAAACTGTTTGAACGAGTTTATCCTTTTAAGTTTTCTCTAGCCTTCTGCCCCTTCTGCTTGCATTACCCTTTTTATTCCACTGTGAATGAAGGAGGAATATCTTCACCAAATCCACAGCATCTGAAGCCTGAACTATTCTACAAATGTCACCAGTTGGTAACTGAGAACAACAGGAGATCGTTTCCCTGCTTTTTTGGAATCTTCAGTATGCACAACCTCCAGCGCAAATTGTGGCGTTTAGGCACATGGTGTTGCTTTTCTGATTTCAAGTGAATCGGCCAGTTAAAAGCTATACTCTTTTCATCTCCCACTTTTCAGAAGTGAGATATTTTCATACTAGTTCATTACACACTTGTCACTTTAGAATCTAAGTTTACCTCTTCTAGATTTTTTTTCACTCTATCCCTGTATTCTGTTACAGGAGCACCTGTTCTTCAACAGTTTAGTGTAAAGAACAGAAGGAAATGCACAGTATTTTTATGTAGAGATTGCACATTTAGCACCAACAAAAAGATTTCACATGGAGATGAAAACTTGTAATCTCATCGCAGAATGTAGTTGCATGGTCATTCTTCTTTAGAAAAAACAAACCCAACCTTTCTTAGAAAGGAAACCTTCTTACAAAGGTTAAAATAGTGACTTAAGTGAAAAAAGTTTATGCAGAGTGTTTTATTTCACAAGATTCCCATTTGCCTTTGAAAGAAGTAAAGGAATTATGGGGAAAAATCCCTTAAAGTCCACATGATAAACATAATGGCAGCTTAATAAAAATCCAAGTTACTTCTTACTAGTATGACATCCCTCTTGAAGCTCAGTAAAAAAAAAGAAGCATCTTATTGAAGACTAGTCAGTCTATTTCTGTATCCACTGAAGCTACTTCATTTGTTAGCATCATCCAGTTTTGTCCATGTCCTTTATGCTGCACTTGAAAGGAACTACAAGTGTAAGAAACACGACAGGAGTTGTTCCATCTGCTGTTTTTCCTCTGGGTCTAACTGCTGAGCAAGTATCCATTGCACAAGTTCTTCAAACTCTTCCTCAATTTTGATGGTGTTAAACTTTCACAGCTTTCATATTCCTCAGGAAAATTACGCTTTCTGTGGTTTGCTATGTAGTAGACTCACAGTTTGAAACCTGAGTGAATGGCTACAATGCCTGAGTTTAAATTCTGATAATCCACTTTAAAAAAGCCTGCATCTTCTATCATTGCTTTAAACTCCTCCTGAAAAATAACAGTTCCGTAATTATAACAACCTAAAGGCCTATAAACCAGCTGCCTGCAAGATTATGCTGGGACTGTGTTTTGCGTGTTAGTGAATTCAGAGAAATATCATCTTACCTGAGGGGGGAAACGTCGGATGCTCTCCACAAGATACTGGTATGACTTCCAGTCACCAGCAATAACTTCACCCAGAACAGGGATAACCTGGAAACTGTACAGATCGTAGAGCCTGCACAGGCAGACAGCAAATGCGGATTAATACAAACAAGTTTAAAACCAACCCTCTGCAACACAAGCTGATCTCTGCACCACTACACTACGGAGTCTGTATCTGATTTTACAAGTGCACAATGAAGTGGCATCAAAGTGTCTCCCTCTCTTATTTTGTTTACAAATAAGAAAGCCTTGTGACAAGGCATAAAGTGTCATCGTGTTCTTACCTGGAAAGAAGAGGGTTGCTGACACGACTAAATTCAAGGCAGAGAAATCTTCCTCCTGGTTTCAGCACCCGATAGGCCTCCTCGAGTGCCTGAGACAAAGTAGATGTGATAACTTTGTTTCTGTAGAACAGCACCTGCCTATTATCATGCCATGTGTTGGCAACTCAGTGGTGAGCTGAGGGGAGTAAAGAGAATCCTAACTGGCAATATTTACTTGCGGAGAAACACCCCAAGATGAGCACAAAAAGAATCCCAAACAACAAAACCAAACTACAAACACGTTTGCTGCTACATAAATAGATTTATACCAGACTTTCTGTTGAAACTATGATGTCAGGTTTGCAATTTTTCTTCCTTTCACCTACTCTCAGTTGATGAATGTTTGCCAGCAGAGCCTTTGTAATTACAGACCAAACCCAAAAGGGAGAAGGTGACTCAGCTACAAGAAGCTGAAAATGAAAAGAGGGCACGACAGATTTTGTTTTAATCAGAAGAAAAGATTTTACTCAACTGTAGGACACACCCAAAGGATCAAAGAGAAATGATACTGTGTTATGGATGAGCAATGTGTGAGAACAGGGAGGAAGGAGAGGGAAGACGAAATTATTTGGCTACTTTGAAAATTCCATCCTATGTCCAAACCAAAACACCTAAGAAACAGCAAGACAAAATTCTGTTTAGAAGTGTATGTTTTTTCATACAATAGCAAAACAGAGTTGTGTTCAGGAACCTCTGCAGGTTGTACATCTCCTTGGCTTCAACTGTCATGTTCCTAAGGGATAAAATATAAAGAGTACACATGTGTGACAGGAGCTCTGCAAAAGAGGAGGCTTGAATGTGTTCTGAATCAGGTCTCCAGAGAGCTATGCTACCAGATTGCTGTATCCATGGAGGCAAAGAGCCTGTGCTTCAGAAGATGAAGTCTCGTGAAAAGCCATCGACACTAAGAGAAGTTCAAAGGCAGACAGTTCAAGGTGGTTTGGATCCAAACACTGCACCTTCCACAGAAGGAGCACTGCGAAGGCTGTAACCTGCTCCTCCAAAACACAGACAACTAGTCCAGCTAGACAGGTGATCTAACCTGTCTTCAGCCCCAACACAGCTAGTCATCTCCCAAAGGACAGATATGGTTTAGAACAAAGGGTACTACTTACCCTAATGAAAAATCATTCTTCATGGGAAACTCACCTACTGGCCACTGCAAGGACACTGAGCAGAAGTGAGCTGAACAGGTTAGTTCAAGGGCAGTGGTGGCAGCAGCCAGCTGCTCCCCACTCTCTGCTCTGGGCGCTCTGCCAGTTCAGACCAGCAAAGAGAGTCGGGCAGGATGCGCTGGACCCACCACCACTGGCACATAGATCAGGTGCTTCAGGAACACTTGAGACGTGCAGACTGACTGCACTGTGCAAGTGTAGATCCACTACCATCATAGGTCACGGGAAGGAGGGGAATGACTGTAGCACTCCCCCCTTTTTGCCTTAGGAAGAGATTGTGTGGCTTGCCAAGCTGGAAGGATTGCACACAATATAAATCTAACTTTTTATGACATAGGTGGGGCATTTAATTGCATTCTTCATTCAAACGAGTTGCATACTATATGCCATTTATTTTAAATGCTTCAGGAGTAGACAAAGACGTTCCTTTATCCAAAGGAATTCCTCCTTTGCTCCCTCTGCCAGAATAAAGAAATCCCAGGTGAATCATAAGGACCCCATTGTCAGGATACATCACAGCAACTTACCAAATCCATACGAGTTACATTTCGGATTCCAAAGGCAATTGTGTAAACATCAAACTTATCATCATCAAAGGGCAATTCTTCAGCATTTCCAAGCACCCAGGACAAACCTGTAGTAAAAGCCAAAGACACTCTATTGAGCAAACCTTGTAGAACTCGGGCTGCTCCGTAAAGACTAGAATTTATCTATTCCAGAAGGAATGTGGCTTGAAGTTGTGCCAGGGGAGGCTGAGGTTAGATATTAGGAAAAATTTCTGTACTGGAAGAGTGGTGAAGCCTTGGCACAGGCTGGCTGGGGCAGTGGTGGAGTCAACATCCCTCGAGGTGTTCAAAAAACACGTAGACACGGCACTTTAGGACATGGTTTAGTGGTCATGGTGGCGTTGGGTTGACGGTTGCACTTGAGTGAAATGAGGGATGCTCTCCTCTTTGCTGCCATGAAAGCCCTTTGACCATGTTGGGAGAGCCCCATGCTCTGGGATGGATGGGAAGACCCCACAGCTCTTCCCAGCCACCCCACCCCTTCTTTTTGCAGCACCCCAGAGAAGGGCAATAAAGGTGGGGAAGGCTCTGGAGAACAAGTGTGATGAGGAACAGCTGAGGAACCTGGGGTTGTTCAGCCTGGAGAAGAGGAGGCTGAGGGGAGACCATCTTGCTCTCTGCAACTCCCTGACAGGAGGCTGTAGCGAGGTGGAGTCGGTCTCTTCTCCCAAGGAACAAGCGATACGATAAAAGGAAATGGCCTCAAGTTGTTCCAGGGGAAGTTTGTGTCAGATATTAGGAAAAAATACCTTCACCAAAAGGGTTGTCAAGCCCCGGAACAGGCTGCCCAGGGTAGCGTTGGAGTCCCCATCCCTGGAGGCATTTAAAAGACAAATAGATGTGGTGCTCTGGGACTTGGTTTAGCAGCTGACTTGGTTGTGCTGTCTTAACGGTTGGACTCAATCTTAAAGGTCTTTTCCAACCAAAACTATGAAATTATTATTAGTAAAGTGATACTTTAATAATAACCAGTATTTCAATTTTGTATTTTTGTAGGAGGAAAGACACCTTGGTCTATACTCACAAACCTTTCAAGGCCCTGTATTACAGAGCTGTCTTTCAAGCAAAGTAGTTAACTTGGCAGATCAGCCAAAACATTCCTATGCATATGCGCGCATGTTGTGTTCACAGCGCATTAGTCTGCCAAAAAGATTTCACCCAAATCCTGCATAGTGGAAAACAACTGGCTTCCAGAAACCATCTGCCATTTGTTTGTAGCAAAGTTGCAAAAACCCCAGAATCTCCACTCAAACAATAATTATGAACAGTGATAAATGTCTTGCCATGCAACAATGGTCAAAACACTTAAAACACTTTGCTAGAAAGCTTCCCCAAACTGAGGAAAATGAAAAGCCACACTCCCTCCCCCAGCACACTCGGCATGTGATCCTGTTGCAGCTGTATTGCTTCCTAAAACCCCAACAGATCAAGGCCACATCTATCTGAGGAGCATGGATGTCCAAGTTATTTGTACCACAAATAAGAATGTTCAATTTAGAGTTAATAGTTCTTAAAGTCACTGGCTTTTGTGACTCAAATGCAAACCAACCAAACAAAAACCTAACATGAGTCTTCTGCGATAGAGATCAGCAGTTTCAAAGAGCAGAATGCTAGAGAGCAACACAGAGGGAGCAAAACACAGCAGAAAGTGACAGTTGTTGCCAGAAGACATTCAGATTTCAGTTTGTATTTTTATAGTTGTAGCAAGTGGTGTAAGCAAAACAGCCCATAACATTACTAAAGCAGCATTAGTGTTATTTAAACATACAGAGTTTGAAAAGACACCAAAGAAGTGAGCACCAAGAGGTTTTGAGCAACAGGAAATCTGCCCCTCAGAACACATTATGGTAAAATCACAGGGCAGGAGTTTTTAAGTGGATACATGAAAGGGGCTGGCAGTGTCCAACAAGAGGAACTGGGGGCCATGCAGCACAGCCTGCCATTCCCGCTGGCCAAAATCCACCACCAGCAATTATGCAACACGTGTTTCTTTTCAACATGCGCAGCTTCCACTGTTGGTCAAAGTACACAGGAGCATAGGG